CGCATCAATTATCTCTTTATTCAAACAGATAAAATTAAGATAAATCCTAAGTTTAAAAAACCCTTAATATCCTTATCAAGAACTTCTACACTCGCCCTCAAGCTGGTGAGAAAATATTTAGCATTCCTAACTTCGAAACTTGATTGTCGAAACTCTGTCTAGACAATCCTTTTGTAAGAATGTCTGTAGTCTGTTGGCTAGTAGGTAGATAGATAACACACAACAGCTTGTTGTCAATCTTCTCTTTAATAAAGTGCTTGTCAATCTCCACATCCTTCCTTCCATCATGACGTACTAGATTACGGTGCAATCCCAATCCCAGCCTTGTTATCACAATATAGCTTCATAGGATCTTCATTCTTGATTCCTAGTTCTGCCAAGAGTCTTTTTAACCATATCAGCTCCCAAATACCTTGTGCCATTGCCCGAAATTCAACACTGCTCCTTGCAACCACAGTTTGCTTCTTACTTCTCCAAGTCACCAAATTTCCCTAAACGAAGGTGAAATACCCTGAAGTTGACCTTCTATCACTCACTGAACCTGCCTGGTCTGCATCGATGAATGCCTCCACCTTTCTTTCATTAGTTTTCTCAAAAAACAGTCATTTCCCAGGTGTCATCTTCGGGTACTTTAAGATTCTAATTACAGCTTCAAGATGCTTCTCCTATGGGTTGTGCATGTGTTGGCTTACCACACTTACAGAGAAGGCTATGTCAGGCCTTGTATGAGCCAAGTATATCAGCCTCCCAACCAGTCTTTGATACCTGCCCTTTTCAACTGGTGTATCTCCATTGTCCTGGTCAAACTTCACATTTGGCTCAATAGGAGTCTTAGCAGGTCTACACGCTAACATTCCAGTATCATTTAACAGATCCAAAACATATTTTCTTTGAGAAACAAAGATTCCATTCTTACTGTTGGCAACCTCCATCCCTAAAAAATATCTCAACTGTCCTAGATCCTTTATCTCAAACTCCTTCACAAGAACCTTTTTTACCATCTCCATTTCTTCTAAATTGTTTCCTGTAAGAATAATATCATCTACATATACTATTAAGACAGTAATCTTACCCCCATTATTCTTGAAAAACAAAGTGTGATCAGTCCGACCTTGTGTGAACCCATAACTTCTAATAGCCTTGGTAAATTTTTCAAATCCGGCCTTAGGAGACTGTTTTAAGCCATACAAGGATTTCTTTAGCTTACAAACCTTCCTCCTTATCTAATTACCTTCAAAACCTGATGGCAACTCCATATAGACCTCTTCTGCTAGGTCACATTCAAGAAAGCATTCTTTACATCCAACTGTTGCAAGGGCCAGTCTAAGTTTGCAGCCAGGGAAAGGAGAACTCGAATAGTATTCAGCATGGCTATAAGGGCAAAGGTTTCCTGGCAATCTACTCCATGGGTCTGTGTGAATCCCTTAGCTACCAACCTTCCCTTGTATCTCTCAATTGAACCATCTGCCTTACATTTTACTGTAAACACCCATTTACAGCCCATAATAGTCTTCCTCTCAAGTAAGCTCTCCAATTCCCATGTTCCATTTTTTTCAAGGACCTTCATCTCTTCCATTACAACTTCTCTCCATTTAGGATCATCCAATGCTTCTTGTATTGACTTAGGAACCTCTATGGTTGAGATATTAGTAGCAAACACTCAAAAATCAGTAGATAGATTTTCATAGGACACAAAATGAGAAATAGGATGTAGAGTACAAGACCTAACCCCTTTCCTAAGAGCTATAGGAAGATCGACATTCGACTCAGACTCACTAAGAGGCAAAATTTTCTTACATGAAGGCTATGATTCATTGACTTTTATCGGTTGGGATGATTAGCCATGCAGATCATCAAAAGGATTCTCACTGTCTTGATAACCAAGTTTCTGAGAACAAACTTTGAGGTTTGGTTGATTTAGCCTAGTCAAACCTCCCCCTGTCTTCATATGTTCCTGAGTCAAAGTGTCAAAATTCTCTTCTACTATAGAGTTTTCAAGATTTTCTGTTCTGATGGAATTAGGGTTGGTATTTTCTATTCTGGTGGAATTAGGATTGGTAAGAGACTGGATTTGAGTTAAAGGTGAGTTATGATTCAAAGGTCTCGGAGTGGATGTAGGATTTTGAGTAGATGTAGGAGTCTGACTTATGGAATGTTATTTCCCAAACACTATCTTCATTATCAATCTGTGAGTTCTCCCTCTAAAGAGAGGGTTTGGGAAAATAAGGATTTGACTAAAAAATGGTCACATCTTTAGAGACAAAAAATTTCTTCCTTATAGGGCAGAAACACTTATATCCTTTTTTAGTGGGAGAGTACCCTACAAACACACACTTAATGGCCCTAGGATCTAACTTGCCTCTGTTATGAGAGTGCACATGAACAAAGGTAGTACACCCAAAGACTTTCAAAGGGAGAGAGTTTAAGGCTCTATAATCAGGAAATGTTTGAAGAAATGTGGAAAGAGGAGTACGAAACTCTAAAATCTTAGTTAGCAATCGATTTATCAAATAAGTCACTTTTAGGAAGCCTCCCCCCACAAATAATTAGGCACGTTCATGATGAACATAAGTGCTCGAGCAACCTCTAAAAGGTGCCTATTTTTCTTTTCTGCAATACCAGTCTGTTGTGGGGTATCTACATAAGAACTTTTGTGTATTATTCCATGACTGAGTAGATAGTTTCCTAGGCTAGAATGGAAGTACTCCCTATCATTATCTGTTCTTAGGACTTGAATATGTGTGTGAAAATAATTCTTAACCATGGAATGGAAATTCTTAAAGACTCTACTTGTTTTAGATTTTTCTTTCATTAGATAAACCCAACATAATCTAGTGTGATCATCAATGAAAGTAACAAACCATTTTGATCCAACAATATTTTTAACTCTAGATGGTCCCCAAATATCACTATGAATGATAGAGAATGGCCTAGAACTCTTGTATTGTTTAACAGGAAACACTAATCTGGTATGTTTTGCAATTTGGCAGATTTCACACTCAAATAATATTGGATTTTTATTTCTGAATAACACAGGAAACAATCTTTGTAAATAAGGGAAACTGGGGTGACCTAATCGGTGATGCCACAACATTATTTTTGAGTTACCAAACATAGAGACAGAATTACACCTAGATTTTATAGCTTGATTATTCTCAAAATCCTTGGCATCAAAATAGTAGAGTCCTCCTTCTCTAGCATTGCCAATCATCTTGCCTGAGAGAGGGTCTTGAAATTCACAATGAGAAGAAGAAAAATTAACCACACAGTTTAAGTCCTTAGTCAATTTGTTAATAGAGAGGAGTTTACAAGCCAGATTAGGCACATGAAGGACAAATTGTAGACAAAGATTTTCAAACAGTTTGACAGTCCCTTTACTAGCTCCTTTTGTTAAAGAACCATTAGCTGTTCTAACCCTTAGATTACCATAACATGGGCTGTAGGTTATGAACACACTTAAGTTACCTGACATATGATCCGAGGCCCCTGAATCTATAACCCAAGAATTGGTTGTTCCTACACTGGTATGCAAAGCTGTGAGGGAATTACTAGTCTTAGCAAATGAACATAAGCGATCAGATGAACCAGAATTGGACTAATTGAATAATTCTTGTAAGTGTTCCAACTATTCTTTGCTGAATGGTACAGACCTTGGATGATCTTCAGATTCTTCTATCCCAACATGAAACCCCTTGCCTCCAGCCTTATTAATCTTCCAATTGGTTGGCCTGCCATGTAGTTTCCAGCAAGTAGCCTTGGTATGCTTTGGCCGATGACAATACTCATACCAAAATTTCTCTTTTTCTCCTCTTTTTTGCATCCTTTGCTCTCCATTAGACTTGGTATGATTGTCCCAGCCCTTTGAAACCAAAGCTGAAGACTCAGATGGTATGCTTAAACTGCTGGATCCTACTGATTCACCCATCATCACTTTCCTCCTACTTTCTTCTCTTCTAACCTCAGCAAATACTTCCCTTATAGAAGGTAAAGATTCTTTTCCCAAGACCATACCCCTTACTTCATCTAGTTCCTTATTCAAACCTACAAGGAACTCAAACACCCTTTCTTTTTCTAACATTTTTGTGTATTTGGCAATATCCTAAGAGCAACTCCAGTCTGCTTCAAAGAACAAGTCCAGCTCCTGCCACAATTTAGCCAAAACGCTATAGTATTGAGTTACACTCATGTTCCTTTGTTTGGTCTCTCTCAATCGAGACTTCAACTCAAATATCTGTGCTGAGTTGCCCGCATCCGAGTATGTTTCCTTTGCAACTTCCCAAATATCCTTTGTAGTGGGAAGAAGTAGGCACAGTTGACCAATCTCCTCTTCCATGGAATTGATTAACCATCCCATCACTGTAATATTCTCAGCATCCCATTTTTGGTATGTTGGATCATCCTCTTATGGGGCTTTAATCGTACCAGTCAAGTAGCCCAGTTTACCTCTTCCTCAAACCATCAACTTCACCGCTTGAGACCATGAGACATAATTCTTTCCATTCAGTTTGTGAACACTAATCTGGATTGAATTATTATTATTATTACCTGAAGAAAACAGGATTTCTGGTTGTCCAGATCTCATATTTTAGGAGGATGGAATTTGATGGGACGAAGGACTGGAGGATGAATCTCGAATAGGTGGAGGACTTTGGCTTCTGCCTTTTCTCTCACCAGTCATGGTAGTTTTCACCATTAGTATTTACAGCCAGAGGAACCTGGCTCTGATACCATGAAATCAGGAAGAAAACACCTAATAATTTTTTATTATTGTATTCTATATCATAGGTTACAACAGTCTACTTATATAGACTTTATTAGGATATCCCGATAACTCTTAGGTCCAAGATTATCTCTTTATTCAAACAGATAAAATTAAGATAAATCCTAAAGTTTAAAAAACTCTTACTATCCTTATCAAGAACTTCTACAAGAAGAAAGAGATAATTAAGGTTAAATACAAAAGAAAAAGATGTATTGACTGGCAAACTGCCTACGACTTTCCCAAGTGATTCACTTTGCTGTAATCTATAATCTGTAATTTCTATGGCATAAACTCTTAAGAGGGATTGGAGTTGATCTATGATTTCTATAGCATAAACTCTTAAATTCCACTGAGTTAATCTGTCAGTTACATGGCATTTACAATTGTAAATTTTCCCTCCTATGCTATGGTACTATGGATATCAACAAATGTATATACATTTTCTGACTATACAGCGGTAAAACGGATGAACTAATCATCTAGGAGAGATTTCTCAAATATTCTTCCTTTGGATTTCCATATACCAAGTAATAGTCTCTCAATTTTGGACTGATTTCAAACATATGTTCCTTATACTTTTCTTTTTTCTTATTAAACTTCTTCAAAGCTTTCTCAAGAGCTGTAGTATGTTTCTCTTTTAAGCACACGAGCTTACCTAACTTCGATTTCTTTTCTTCAATTTGGTTCAATTTTTCTGTACTTTCTGAAAATGGAAGCATATCTACCTGCCCAACAACTGGAAAACATATTGTCGGATTCCTGAAAAGAATGATCAAACAAGATAATGTTTAGTGGTTGTGCCTGTTAGCTTAAAGTAGCAATTGTAACTAGGCATCGACTCTTGCTAATGGGGGAAAAAATTCTACAAAAATTTTAATGAAAGTTTTGAGAGGAAAAAAGAAACAATACATACCAGTGCCCAAGACAAATAAGTCCATTCTCTTTCAAAATCTCGCCATCTAGAGATATAGAACAATGCTTTGTACAACCATGAGCCTCTTATCACGTCTTGACGGATTCTGTAAACTTGAAGCTTACCAAAGAGTCGGTAGAACAAAGTCTCCCTAAGACCATCACTTGCACTTGTCCTCGTGTAAACATGATGCTCATCTAGGTCAACCATATTAACTGCATACCCCATAAAACCTGGTGGGGTGTCCCCACATGGTAAAATAGGCTCTAGCAAGGCTAGCCTCCTCTGAGGATCACTGCCATCCAACTCCCCTGTGGAGGGCCTACAATACAAATAATCATGCTTGAAAATTGAGTCATAATATAAAGAAGTTCCAAGGCATACAACATTTTTTTTTCCACAAATATTTATAATAGCTTTAGAAGGAAATTCATAATAATAGTCACTATAGAAGTTTTTAAGGGAGAATGACAATTTCCCAACCCAGGTTTGGCATAAGCAAGTTTTCCCACCTGAAAGGTTTGAAAAAAAAAAAAAAAAAAACAATTTCCCACTCACTATTAAGATCCGTTAGCAAAATCCGTTAATTGACAAGGTACAGTCACTGTAAAGATGGAAATACCATTTAATTCCTTAAATACACTCTCTCCTCTCTAAACCCCTTTTCTTCTCCGAGCCCGGCTCTAGTCACCGCTCCAACTCCGGTGAGATTTGCTAACTACCACTGCCATTGACATCAACATATAAAAAAATCAACCAGCAAGAATAAATCTCAATCTAAATCAACAACACCTCAAAATCAACCAATATTAACTCAAATCAACAATCAAAAAATATACCATAAAATCCAAAAACCCAAATTAACTACAAATGATAACGAAGAAATGAGGAGGTAAAAAGAAATTGCAATCAGGACACTGTATATAGCACCTCATATCCTCAAGGCATATAACAAGAAATTGGCCAACTATTTACTTTCCACGTTCAGTTGCTTTTCCATGTAGTCCAAGTGTACAATTAACTTAAAAAAAAAAAAGTTTACAATTAACTTCTCCATTTTTTTTGTACTCCTGAAGAGCACAAGCTGCTCTAAAGGATCCATAGACCAAAGCAAGCATTTGATCTTCACCCAAGTACTCCGCTAACATCCTAAAGATTGATAAACCAGAGATCATAAACCACAAAAAACTAATGGACATGTAATCATTTCAGTTAAGAAATTTGAAGAAAATAACAGAATGGTGACCTGCTTGCTAAGCTTGCTGGTCCAAGCATTTCCAGTAAGTGCGACAAGGCCGACAATATCTTCAATGAAATCAGTCCTTGATTCGTGGAGTGGAAACTCCTTACCAACACAACAGAGAACAGCGGCGACAGATTGACCCCCGCTTTCAATCTGTCTTGTTATTTCCTCTTTTGTAAGCAAGGAGTATGGATCAGTCAACATTTGAGGTTCAGTTGAAGCTGGTAAACAAATCAACAACATATCCATTTTTCAGTTTTCCACCGCATATGTTGTTGGAGCCACATTTATAAATACATTGGAGGCAGTGCTTTAATTTAAGTAGCAAGTAGAAAATAAAACCAAATTTCTAACTATTTGATTTTACATGAACATGAACATTAAAATTAACCATTATTCTTTTCTCTTCCATTGAAGTTTATATCATGTGGAACAAAGTTAAATAATTTCAACATAGAACTCCAAATAGCTTAGTATCATGCCAACAACTTTTTGCAGTACCACAAGTATTATGCAAATTGCAAGTCATAGAGAGTTTAATTGCCACATAATTCATATCAAAATGTTTTTGCATCCTCATCACAAATAAGTCATGACATAGACAGGTACCATTATTAAAAGTATTACTGGAGAACTTAACTTTTCTCAAACAAATATTATTATTTCATTAATGTTGTAATGACCAACTGCTATTGTGGCATGGCAGAGAATGACAAAACGTGCCTTCAGGTCCTCAAAATAATAAAGAAACTTGAGATCCTCAATTGTGGTGTCTACATATGTCCTAAACGTTTAACTCTTATGACAGGACCCAAAATACACAATGTCCCATACTCAAGCAGATTGAACACATTAAGATGTGAACAAGGTAAATATGTACCTATTAATCATGACAAACAAATATTTTAACAACTACAAATAAATAGAATAGACAAAAAAATGTTGAAAATCTGAAAACAATACGATTCACATGATTCCAAAAGATTTATATGACAAATAAACCAAATTAGTAGTGACATCTTTAAATGATCACTGCCTAAAATTGTGTAATCTTATCACCAAATTGAGCAAATTACCATTTTGGATCTTGATCTTAATAAAGATACACAATAATAGCTAGTATGTGTTACATTAAAGTTCTTGGGTCATAAAAGTTTCTTAAAACGGACAAGTATTTTGTGAAATTTATCATTCTACACCAAATCTTGTACTTCAATCATGCATACTGAGTAGGATTCATTTTCTTAATATTTTTAAGGAATAAGAAAGAAAATTATGTCAGTCAAAACCTTGCAATTTAGACAAGACTTGCTCGACTTCTGCCGTTTGATCATTAACAATTTTCAATGCCATTTCATGATTCTTGATACGCGAACCATATTTGCAAATTTCATTCTCAAGTTCCTGCAACCAAAGCAGTCCAAACAACAAAACAACATTTGGCACTTGACAACAACTTAGCTAAGTAGTAATGTTGAACACTAATGGGGACAATGAGACACAAAAACAGTAGGAAAAGTTCTTTTACATGAACGAAATATGGAAAAATTCAAGTCTTCTTTGACCAAGGCATTAAAAACAAGTGAAAAGAATCTCTAGGCAAAACAACTAAATCAAAGGCAATGGAGCACCTATTCCAGCATAAAAAATGTATTTACCTAATAGAAACATGTACTGTAGAAATATTTCATCATAAAAAAGAATTTACAAATTAGAACCATATTTGTAATTACATGCTGAAGTTCCTGCAACAAAAGCAGTTCAAACAACAAAGCTCAGACTAAAACCAACTATCAATTAGTAAGCATTATCACCACATTTGGTACATGACAACAACTCAGCTAGGGACACTGTAACTCAAAACAGTAGGAAAAGTTCTTTTTGAAATTTGGAAAATTCAACTCTTCTTTGACCGAGGCATTGAGAACAAGTGAAAATCTCTACCTGGAACATATAAATCAAAGACAATGAAGCATCTAGTCTAGCATCAAAGTGCATTTACATCTTAGAAATAATGTAGAGATGGAATCTGACACAATACCTTCTTAGTTTTTACGATGGATACCGCAAGGTTTCCTACATGTTTGAGGGGAGTTGAGCCCTCAAGAAGTTGTAACTTTCTATCAGAATATGAGGGTATCTCACTGGACTCCGTTTTTGGACTTTGCAAAAGAGGAACCTGAACATGCAAACCAATTGTTAACAATGTAGTATTCGGGACTGAAAAATGACCATCATAAAGTGTTAATACTAAAGCTAAGCTCTTAAGATATAGACACCCAACAGTGGACACAACAATCATTGGATTAAAGAAGTTTGCCAACTATTTTTGGTGGATTTCAGGCTCTTACTATGTCCCAATTTCTTTAGTTTTTTATTTTCTAACCCATTCATAAATAGATAAAACTATACAGTATTTAATCACTGACATAAAATTTGTTGCAACCTTGATGCTTAGATGTAGCTCTGTGTAACATTTAACTTTTCATGGTCAATCAAATTATCCATAAGAAGCAAAATCTAAAGACTGTTCCTAGAGATGGTTAAATTAAAAAGTCAAATGTTTTTCCTTTTTAGCTAGGCAAACAAAACCAAAAGCTACAAAGTAATAAGTGACTAAGAATTTTCCATCAACCAATGTTTGCATCCTTGAAATTATAGTATACAACTAAAATATGAGATAACCAGTACTAGATAGCACTAAGCTTTTAATATGTCACTGTTTCATTGGACTAATATTAGGCTTTAGTAATAAAAGAATATCATTTTCTTTTTCGTCCTTGCAAGTAAATATCCAAAACAAAAAAATGCAGTTAGACAAAGACACATACCACTTTTTCCATAACCAACCGTTACTTTCAAGAGGCCACTAAGGTCAACACATCCATAATCGTCCACCTATGTTTACAAACTTTTTCAAAGCCATTCAATAATGTAACAGACAAAAATGGTAAACTTCAAATGCAATAGAACCTCAAGGCACAATTATAGTATTAGTTTATCATGCACAAGATGTCAGATAAACAATAAGAACAGGCTTATGCACATCATATTGTCGTATAAGGGAACAAGAATTTGATTAACTCTTTGAACTTTTGAACATTACTAATTTAGATAAACATACTTTCAGATGGGCCTTAGGGTGTCTTTTACATATAGTGCAGCATTAAAACTTTAATATTACATGGCCCAGTGCTTGGCCAAGTACAGACTCATTGTGAATTAATCAGCCACAATACAATCCCAAAGCACTAATGTGAATGGGAAGTGGGAGTTGGGACATACTGGATTAGCAAAATTAGAACTCCCGTATGTATTACCAATCATTAAAGAACCAATGTCTAGGAGATGAATGAATTATCTATCAAAAATACAATCCTAAATAGGAAAATATTGACCTTACGCTTATGCCCAATGGGCTTCAAATCGAAATCCATCCAAGTTCAATTCAACTTCCACACCTTTGTTGAAGTGATTATACTATGTATCAAAAATCTGAAAGAAATGAATGGTTAAATAGGTTAGCCAGTATGCCTTGAACAACTCTCAAAGCTATAAAAGTTTAATTATCTAACTTAAAAGATAATACATTGTTTGATTGTTGCAGGTTGACGCAAAAAAAAAAATATTTCTTAAATGTTATGATGCAGTACCTCTATATTCCATAAAGTGTTCTAAATCTCTAATTATGCTAAAAGGAACTTATAAATATCATGTTTCGGCATTGAAATCAAAGATTAACCAATGTATTATGCTAAAAGGAATTAATATATCAAGTTCTCACACTGAAATCAAAGATTAACAGTATACACTAAGTACCACGAGTTAAATGAAAATACATTGTGAAATACATATGCAGTATTAAGGAATCTACCCATTGATGCAGTTGATATGCTTAGGTTGTCAAATAATATATAATTATCTGTATAATCAATTGTGTTCCAGTACAATATATACCATATCAATATATAAGAATCCACTTTAAAATGAGTTCAACTAAGCCCTCCTTTATAAGATTAATCTTTGAGACTAATGATTTGTCAACCATCCAGTTTGCTTTTAATCACAACGTACGTAATTACAATCATAAGATACAAATTTTCCAAAATAAGTCTGGCCATGAAAATTATAACATCCCCAAAAAACCTCAAATTTAAGCTGCTATACCATAGAGCTTGGAAGCAAATTGTTCCCAAAATTTGGTGATTAGATAGTAACATGCTTTAAAGATCCAGGAATAACGACTATATATATAAATCATATATAACATACGATACAATGGCAAGAGATGTTCGAAAAAAGATTGAAACGGGTTCTAGATGCAAATCTGTTAAGATCATGGAATAATTGACATGGAATTGAAACGACGCAATTATTTGTGGAGATATCACCAAGGTAACCTCATAATGTGGCTGGATCTTATCCAACTCATAGCTTTCAATCAGAATATCTTGTAGAATCAGAATAACTTAAACAAGGAGCTAATGCACACCAAAAACATATAACACTATTTAAATAAGAGGCAGTTCTTTAAAAGGGCACATAAAAGATATTCATGTGTGAACTCATACCTCAATATTAAGAGTCAAATTATCAGCTGAAAGGTCTATCTGAAACTGTCTACATTGTATATTAACAATTGTGCTTGTATTAAGTGACTATTACCCAGTAACAGATGCAAATGGAATCCGATTAATAGATGTCATAACATGCAATGGATAAAGGTGGGAAACACAAACCAACTATGTGGAAAGTGGTCATTTTATGAGAAGGGGGAATATAAAGGTTATCAAGTCTAATTAGAAATGCTAGTTAAGGGAAAATAATAGGAGGAAGAAACTCCCTAAGAACCATTAAAATATGCAACTAATTGACATGAAAGGTAAATAGATTATTAAGTAACTACTTAAACCAAAAGTTTAAGCTTATAGGTTTAGGCCCAATGATAATATTTAAGCTGTAAAGTCTGCCATGCGTAATGCAAATTAAAAGATGCAAAGATGATGCTTTACTAGTCATTAATCCCATTTAGAGAGTGTATTGAGATTGAGTGGATGATAAAGAGTATCATACTTAATTCTAGGAATGAGCCAATAAAATTGCTTTTCATCTGTCTACAACACCCTAGAATGGGAAATTCTGCAATTCATATTATGCAATACAGGAAGCATCTTGTGATAACTTATTTGGGTTACTTATCATCCCTATTTTGTACTCTAAGCTTAAGACTAGCGAAGAATAAAGTATCCAAAGTTTCTTCAAAATTTTGGATGAATGAGTATCTTAGTAGGAGATGGAAATGATTTCACTGTGAGTTTCAGAATAGAAAAATTGATAAGCTGATCGTTAAAAGTTTTCTTACCTAACACAAAAATTTGGGCTCTGTTTACAACTCAACAGTTCCAATTTCCAACCTTACAAGATCCCTTAACTACCAACTGTCTTCACAACCCTTACAACTTGAGTAAGGCTAAAGCACAAAATTCCATCATATCAGGTGATATAATATCTAAAAACACAAGAAATGATATAATATATACACAACGAACAAAAAGAGATAAGAAGTCTTGTTATCAATTACAAGGTGAAATGAAAACATATACATCCCAGCATTTTGAAAGAAGTTTGGTAGCTTGCACCTGAATCAAATATATATAAACCTTGATACCCTTTCGTAGAAGTAGGTGGTAAACCAGCTGTGTAAATGTTGATAACCTTTTGAAGATTTTCCTTTCACCTATGAATCTGACTTCCATGATCATCTCTAAATTATTCTTAACAATGTGCTTTGGTCCAACTTCTTTGAAGCACTAGAAGAAACAGCATTGGCAGGCTAAACAACAGCCACAATTTCTCTAGGAGGTACTTTTCCATCTTTAGCGTAAAAGTAATGCCCGAAACAAAAACTAATTAGTTGTGATTAAATATCTTGATGGAAGAGAAGAAAGGGATTGAATTTTGTTCAAGCTAAGTGCCAAAAGAAAGGGAGAATATTTTTACATATATACAAGATGTGACATTCTATATTTATAAAATTTCCAGATAACTTAATCAGTTCTCATCCTTGATAAACCAAAATAAGAGAAGTTTGATGAATACAGACCTCATATCTAATTTTGACACGTGTGTGCGTTCAAAATCAATCAAAGCAGGAGCTTTCTAACGTTGCTTCTCTAGTTGTAGTTCCCAATCAATATTGTCAATACAACACATAATGCCAATGACAAAAATAATTAATAAATACTTACTCTCAAGTAAAATTTGCAAATAACAAAGAAACAAAATGTATGCAGCAGTAAAGAGGAAATTGAAACTAAATGGAAAACCTTTATAGATTCAATTATGCCAATAGGTGACGACAAGGAGCCAAAAATATCCAAGCTGATAGTCCCATTGTTCTCCACGAAGACACATCCTTCCTTATCCATAAGATCTAATGGCCTTTCAGACCATAAAAGATATTAGACATCACATGTTTATGAAACAAAAAGTAGAAGGATTTATATTATACACTAAAAATAGAACTTTTACAGCCACAAATGCACAAGGTAGCATGCCTGCATATAATACAAGCATCACCTATTTTTTCGGGAGGATGAAATTTATCAAATTTGCAAGAAAATTAAATTATGTAAACATGTCAATATACGTTTGTTCTAGTACGAAATGATAAAAAGAAAACTAATAGTCATGTTCTAAGTCTAAGAGTTTAAAACCTACCAGCAACATCCCCTTGAGACCTTCAATAAAAAAATATTCTATTGTTGCATAGATATTGTGCTATGAACTCCATCACATGGTCCCTTGAAAACCTTAACTCTTTGACCTCTTTTTCATGTTTAACCCTTCCTCTCTAGTACTTGGTGCACCTGCAACTATAGTGAATAATATATTTATGATATGTCATTAGATATGAAACAACAGGTAAACAAAAAATTAGCAACAATAGAATAAAAAAGAGACCCAAGGAACTGAACAAAGTATATGAAAAGCAAACTATGCAAAATTGAAAATAATGTTTTGTAAGGTAAATTCCTTATCAATCAAAGCCTAACATCAGATGAAATGCCCAGTGACTTTTTGTTCTTGGGGCTATGGTAAAAATTGGTTGTCTGCTCCAAAGGTATTTTCTATCATAATGATCATACATCTGCAAAAGCCAGTCTTGATA